CGTACTACAGAAGCCGGCTTCTGGAGTCACCAAGAAGCCGGCTTTTAAAAGCCGGCTTCTGAAGGACAACAGAAGCCGGCTTCTAGAGTCACCAAGACGCCGGCTTTTACAAACTGGCTTCTTACGTACTACAGAAGCCGGCTTCTACAGTCAACAAGAAGCCGGCTTTTAAAAACCGGCTTCTGAAGGACAACAGAAGCCGGCTTCTGGAGTCACCAAGAAGCCGGCTTTTAAAACTGGCTTCTTACTTACTGACGTACTGCAGAAGATGGCTTTTGAATACAGTTTGTATTGTCATATTTTTGCAAAACCATACGGGTAAATTGAATTCTAAGCATGGATATCGATGAATTTGATCACGTTCATCAATTCCAAAAATATTATGCATTGTATTTCTGTTTAATAAAAACGCACCGCTCATTTTTCAAAACTGGCTCATATTTGGAGCCAGTTTTCAAATCAGCTCGTACCATTAAACACAAGCTATTAACGGACAATCTAGCCACTGGGAATTACGAGATACTGTCTCCCGATCATTTTGATGTGGATTATGCATCTTATTCTCGTATAATCTGCATGAAAATAAGGAAAAACTGAAAAATATGTAAAATTATAACATAATTCAAGATTTTTTGCAAAAAGTCATTTCAAGTCAAAACTATAAGAGAAAACTGAAGTCGAAGTAAAAATATCGATGAATTAGATCATGTTCACTAAATCAGAACAGATTATGAATTGCATTTCCGTTTTATAAAAACGCACCGCTCATTTTTCAAAACTGGCTCCAACTTGGAGCCAGTTTACAAATCAGCTCGCTCCATCTTACACAAGCTATGTAGGGACAATCTACCAACTGGGAATCACGGGATACTGTCTCACGATCATTTCTATGTGCATTATGCACCTTATTCTCGTATAATTTGCATGAAAATGAGAAAAAACTGAAAAATACGTAAAACCGAACTTATTTCAAGATTTTTTGCAAAAAGTCATTTCAAGCCAAAACTATGAGAGAAAATTTATTTCTAAGTAAAAATATCGATGAATTATATCACGTTCACTATATCAGAACAGATTATGCATTGCATTTCCGTAAAATAAAAACGCACCGCTCATTTTTCAAAACTGGCTCCAACTTGGAGCCAGTTTACAAATCAGCTCGCTCCATCTTACACAAGCTATGTAGGGGCAATCTAGCAACTGGGAATCACGGGATACTGTCTCACGATTATTTCTATGTGAATTATGCATCTTATTCGCGTATAATTGGCCTGAAAATGAGAAAAAACTGAAAAATACGTTAAATTGTAACCTATTTCAAGATTTTTTGCAAAAAGTCATTTCAAGTCAAAACTATAAGAGAAAATTGAAGTCGAAGTAAAAATATCGATGAATTAGATCATGTTCACTAAATCAGAACAGATTATGCATTGCATTTCCGTTTTATAAAAACGCACCGCTCATTTTTCAAAACTGGCTCCAACTTGGAGCCAGTTTACAAATCAGCTCGCTCCGTCTAACACAAGCTATGTAGGGACAATCTAGAAACTGGGAATCACGGGATACTGTCTCACGATCATTTCTATGTGCATTATGCATCTTATTCTCGTATTATTTGCATGAAAATGAGAAAAAAACTGAAAAATACGTAAAATTGTAACTTATTTCAAGATTTTTTGCAAAAGTCATTTCAAGCCAAAACTATGAGAGAAAATTCATTTCTAAGTAAAAATATCGATGAATTAGATCACGTTCACTAAATCAGAACAGATTATGCATTGCATTTCCGTTTAATAAAAACGCACCACTCATTTTTCAAAACTGGCTCCAACTTGGAGCCAGTTTACAAATCAGCTCGCTCCATCTTACACAAGCTATGTAGGGACAATCTAGCAACTGGGAATCACGGGATACTGTCTCAAGATCACTGCATGCATAATCTGTTTCTGTTTTTTCTCATTTTCACGCAAATAATACGAGAATAAGATGCATAATGCACATAGAAATGATCGTGAGACAGTATCCCGTGATTCCCAGTTGCTAGATTGTCCCTACATAGCTTGTGTTAGATGGAGCGAGCTGATTTGTAAACTTGCTCCAAGTTGGAGCCAGTTTTGAAAAATGAGCGGTGAGTTTTTATTAAACGGAAATGCAATGCATAATCTGTTCTGATTTGGTGAACATGATCTAATTCATCGATATTTTTACTTAGAATTGATTTTTCTCTCATAGTTTTGGCTTAAAATGACTTTTTGCAAAAAATCTTTAAATATATTACAATTTTATGTATTTTTCAGTTTTTTCTCATTTTCATACAAATTATACGAGAATAACATGCATAATGCACATAACAATAATCGTGAGATAGTATTTCGTGATTTCCAGTTACCAGATTGTACCTACATAGCATTTGGCATATGGGGCGAGCTGATTTGCAAACTGGCTCCAAATTGGAGCCAGTTTTGAAAAGTGAGCGGTGCGTTTTTATTAATTTTTTATTTTTTTTAATAAATACTCATTTATTTCTTTAAATCATTAAATAAATTTACATTGTAATCACGGCGTAATCGCCCATAAAGGGCATTTCTACTGCCGCTTTAAGTGAATTTAAATACAATATAATGTTATTGAGTCATATTCATAGTTAGTATAAAAATATATAAAATTTAAATACAATCTGTTTTACTGCCTGCCTGTACCCCCGTTGGTGCCCTGAAATTGAATTACTGTTTTGATTGTTTAATTGTGTTTAATAAAATTTATAACTGCCTTAAAGATTTTGGAATTGTTTTCATTTGTCAGATCCTTGTCGCCAAAAAGTAGGAAATTTGTCTTATTTTTTAATGTTTTGTATTTGGTAACATCTAAGTTTAGTTCACGTTTAACCACCGCTAGCGCATTTGTTTCTCTCAGAGGGCAGGACAAGAGTTTATGTTGTGCTGTCTCTCGAGCTCCACAGTCACAATATGGATCGTTAATGAAAGAGAAATTATGGTCATAAAGATCGGATTTAAAATATCGATTTACTCTTATCTTATTTAGTATAACTTCGTCTTTTCTATCAAGATTCTGTATGTAGGAGGTTGAAATTGTAGGTTCCATGTTATTAGTGAGATGATCGCTTAGTTGTTTTTTGAAAAGTGAGAAGCTGTTTGTTTCCTTATGGTCTCTAGGAAGACGGTTCCACAAGGTTATCATTGAGCAAACTGTTCCCGTTTCCATTTTTTTACTAATTGAGGCTGGTAATTTGTAGTCGTTGGTTGTTCTAAGAACTCGCGTCTGAGGTGATTTATATCGTTCGAAAATCCGTTTAACGTAAGATGGTGCCGAATTGTTTTGAATCTTGAACATAACGCGCAATTTATGATCATCCCGTCTATTTTGAAGCTTATCCCAATTTAATATTTCAAGGGTTTTTTCTGTGCTTGCTCCTTGCATAACACCAGAACAAATAACAGCTGCCCTATAATGTAGCTTGTCTAACTGGGCTAGGCTGGTAGCTGGAGCAGCGTCATAAATGATATCGCAATAGTCCAGATGTGACAGGATAAAGGAAGAGTAAATTTTTTCCAGGTGTTTGGAATTTAATCTATGCTTAAGTGCCATAAGTGGATTTAATAATTTTTGAACCTTACCTTCTAGATATTCAATATGGGTTTTAAAAGTTAACTTTTCATCAAGAATTAGCCCGAGGTGCTTATGATGTTTAATTTGATCTATTGGAGTGTCGTTGAAAACAAACTTAGGATATGTTCTCTCAATTGGTCTATTTGTTTTAAAGATCAACTCGTGACTTTTTTGTGGTGCGAAAGTTAGTCCCCATTTCTGGGACCACATTTGGATATGAATTAAGTCATCTTGAAGAACTTGGCTATCTGTATGGTGATTTATTGGGTCAACCGGACAAAAAAGTGACGTGTCATCCGCATAGATAAAACATTTAGAGTTTAAATCGTCTGTTATGTCATTTAGATATAACAAAAAGAAAATCGGTCCCCATATTGAGCCTTGGGGGACTCCAGAGTTGATTTGACCGACTTTACTTGACCTAGATAATTCATCATTGATCTTAATTTTAATTGTTCTGTTTGTGAGGTAAGATTGAAAAAGGTCAATTAGTGATTTTGGGATACCGTAGGATTTGATTTTCTGAAGAAGGAGTACATGAGGGACTTTGTCGAAGGCTGATTGAATGTCCAAAAATATTGCTCGAACATCGAGACCATTTTCAAAATTTTGAAGAATGTAGTTTGTTATAGCAGTTAGTTGAAGTTGAGTGTTGTGTTCTTTAAGAAATCCAGATTGCATTTCATAAATTAGGTTATTTGATGTCAAGTGGGTCATCAGTTTACAATTTACTATTTTTTCAAAAAGTTTAGACATTGTACAAAGTAAAGTTACAGGCCGATAATTTTTTATTAGAGATTTGTCATCTTTTTTATGGATAGGACAAACAACTCCTTCTTTCCATTTTGAAGGAAAAGTCTTGGAAGTGAGAATCGAATTAAAAAGTTTTGATAATGGAATGGCGAGGGGGTCACTTGCTAATTTTAACATTTCATTTGTGATTTGGTCATGTCCGGCTGATTTTCCACGTTTTAATTCCATTATACTTTCCACAATCATTTGTGGGGAAATTTCAAATTCTTGCATATATAATTGAGTTCTGCTTGGAAAGGGCCTTTCCATCACAGTTATTTCATTGGAATATTTGGAAACAAAATGTTCGAGAAACAGGTTAGCCTTACCTAGGTTGCTATGTACTGGGGTATTTTTTTCGAGGTCAAACATTGCGGGGAAGGAATTGCAAAAACGTTTACCAAGGAGTTGTTTAATAAGCGACCAGTAAGATTTGGATGTAATTTCGGAACTGAGAACGCTTTCCGTAACATTATTGTCGTAGTCAAGTTTTTTCTGTTTCACTAAATCGTTTACTACTAGCAATTGGGTTTTGTAAAGTTGATAATCAATTTCGTTTTTTGAAATTTTAAATTGTGCATATAGTCTTTTTCGAACATTAATTTCATGTTTAATTGTGTCATCAAACCAAGGTCTATCCGATTCTCTTTTCCTCCTGGTTTTATTTGGTATATGTTTCTGAAAAATGCTGAAAAGAATCTCAGTAAACTCGTTGACTTTTTGATCTATGTTTGCATTTCCTTCCGGAATATTTTGAAGGTGGGAGTTACAAATAGCTTCATTCAAAACAGTGCGATTAACTTTGTCATAATACCACTTAGTTCGCTTAGTTGACTGCTCCCTGGTTAGACCAGTAGTTAATCTCGTTAGAACACAACAATGATCTGAGTTACCGATAGGTGTGAGTACTTTAGTCATTTCGACTAGTCCCGGGGAATCACATATTGAAAGATCAATGCATGACATTGAAGTCGGTCTTATTCTGGTAGGCTCGGTAACAAGCTGAGTAAGTCCAAAATTAGTTATGAGGTTATAAAGTTGAGTACCCGCTGTGTTATTAGCTGAATTGTGCTCGTTCCAGCTAAAGTGTTTGCTATTGTAATCGCCGTTTAAAAGAACAGCTGTAGGTTGTTTTCTTTGCACGGTTTCGATGTCCCTCGATAAAGAGGTGAAAAATTGGTTATTTTAATCAACACTCATATTAGGCGATTTATATGTCAGCGCGTAGAAAATATTTTGATGATTCACACATAGTTCAAACCATATCGTTGCACAGTTGTGTTTTTTAGTGCCAAGATCCGGGCATTTTTTAAAGAAAATATTGTTTTTTATGTAGACCATCAATCCCCTCCCCTCGCTAATGTATATTGGCGGGTGATAGTCAAAAATATCGTAATCCTTTTTGATAGTTTCATTTGCAATTTGTCCAACCTCACATATACCAGCTACATGGACTTCGTTTAAGCGCATCTCATCTATTAAACATTCGAATCTTGTTGATTCGTCTGCCGTAATACTGTTTATGTTTGACAGTAGAAATGTGATATTTTCGTGTCCAACCGGACCTGGGTTCGGTTGGATATCTCCGTGCATTAACATGAGATATTTCAGATTTGGTACATAGTGTGATGATCCCCCAACACTTAATACAATGTTATGTGATTATTCTGGAGGATTATCACTTTGTTTGAATTGCTCTTACCTTTATTTATCAATTATGTTTGTAGATACTTCATAATTCAGGAGTTTGTTCAGAAATTTTCTTATTTCACTACTTCCTTATTCAGCCTTTTGTTGATAGTCTCATATTAAAAGTTTATATGTGAATTTCCTACACTAGGCACATTATGTCAACTTTATATCAAATGTTGGTTATGTTATTGTTTATTTTAGCAATATTTAATGTATATTATGTGTGATTGTTTATAGGGGCCAAACTAAAGCGATTACATTTTATTTTGAGACTATAAAATTTTGCCTAGATTTGCATGAATCATCAGTTCTTCAGTGAGACTTTGAATCACCGGCAAGTAACAGGAATTAACTTTCTCTCTGCATTTTGGAATTAATACACATACATATTGGATATATAACATCTTATTAGATACACTAACCTAGGTGAACGGGTTGGTAAGGTAATGGAATTACTTTTACTCTAAAACAGAGAAACTGTTTATACTTTTTCCTTGTTGGTGAATCTTCTGATTTCTCTCACTCATTTAGCTTCATTTACATTAGCATGAATTCATTTAAACCTTGTTGAGGGTTATTGTATCAGGTTCAAAAAGAATATTCAGGGCCATTTTGTATGATTACGACTTTGATTTCAATCTGCCTGGTCACGCCTTGAATCAAACTGTGGCTGTACGTATTTATATAGCAGATTGATTTGAACTTTCAGACATTTTATTTCTAATTAAACCTTCATAAGCATTGAGAGAGCTACGTGTACATTCTTGTGAGAAGCATTTCTGATTCATTGGAAATTTACAGATTGACCTACATGTAGATTTAAGATTCAATCGCCAACTTGGTATTTTTGGCTTTATCTTATATAATTTGAGGGAAATATCTGCTTGCCAGTGTTGATTATTTTAGTCACTAGAATATTCATACTTAAAATATACATTTTGAACTGAAAACTTTAGAGAACTACCAGCTATTAGATATATTGCAACTGCCTAATGTATTCCATATATCCCCAAGGTCGGGTTTGATTTGTCGTAATTAAGCTATGGCAATTTATTTGCTGCTACGCTGTTAGTGCGTGGCTCTCGAAATAGGATACAACCCCCCCTCAGCATAGTCTTGAAGAATTTGAACAAGCGTTGCATATTTAACTGTACCAATAATATTTGTGCCACTAAAATATTCACTCTTTATATGAGAATTACATTGTAAATTGCAACTTGTGAGAAACATTGGCTATATTTGTTCCCAAAGTTTTACTATTATTGCATGTAGTATTATTTCACATTTTATTCTAAATATTCCCGAGACGAGTTGGTTTGGGGTGATCAAGGCAATCTTCATATTTGCTGACACTCTTTAGGGGATCTGTGTTGCACCTGGTTAGTATCATCAGGCATGGACTAGTTACGATTTTTTAGTTGTAAAACAGCTTCACAGCATAACCATCTTTTGAGCGCTCCATTCATTTCACTGGGCATATTTTATTTATCTTAATCTTAATTGCACGAATACTGAAATTCTGAAAGAATCTAGCAATTGTTATATTTTTCGCTTCATTACAGAGTTATTTAAATATTTCCGGGGTAAGGTCATTATACAGAGTAGGAAGGGCAATTAATTGGCTGCTACTTTTGTTTGTCCCTGGGAACTGAGCATAGCCAGTGTCGGTATTAATTTGCTAATATAAAGCCTCACAGCATTTTAAATCTTTGTGTGCCTTTGTAATTACTGTGAGAAGATCCTATTTGGAATTTTGCATAACTGTCTTAAGTTTTTGTCCCATTTGCTACACAATGACCACCTTTATATTTTCATTGCACTAATCAAACCCCTAGTCTTAGTCAGCTCCCTTGTGGTCACTTTATCTGTATTACATGTAAACACCTTCTGAACATTTGATCATTATCACTATCCCGAACAGGAGAAACATACCTGTACTCATTGTATTGATGCGTATCTGGCTATTTAAGCCAGTACAGAACCCTTCTAAGAATTTATCTTTTATTGTTTTTATGATGACAATACAACCCCCCTTTTGCCTGTATTGAACTAATTAGACAGGTCATTTTGCCAAGTGAGAAAAACTGGCAGGCAGAATTAAGAGTATAAAGTTACGTTATAGTTTGCATTGAATTTCCTAGATACACTGAATTTCATAAGTGTATTTGACTGAAAATAACGTTACTTTTTGTTTTATTGCATAACTGACGGTAAATCTATGTAGAATTGTGTAACCAAACACATGTATATATTTTGAAATAGAGTTGAATTATATTCATTTTATATAATTTCCCATTACATTCTCTGTTGTGTTGAATGATTGTGTAAGGTGAATGTGGATGTAGATCAGTGTTTGAAAAGACCCATTCCCATATATTTTACAATCTATTATCAAGCTAGACCATTAAAAATCCAAATACTTGATAGCTGGGTAACCCAGGACCACGCTACCCAACACCCTGGGTTGCCACAGATGGTGCCAGCGGCTGGGGTCTAGATACTTTAAGTATTGACTCACGCATTGGATTACGTCATTATTTGATTTGATATAGATTGTTATTATACTGAAGTCTTTGAGATATAAAAACACTGTTTTATCAATTTATTTTGAACATTCACACTACTGCACATCATGTCAAACACATCAGAACCTTTTTATGTAGCTAGACACGTGTCATTGTCTACACCCGAATCTGGAGAAAGTTGTTCATCCCGTCCAAAGTTGAAAATGAACAATGCTGAGGGGATAACACCAGCATTTGATGCCTCTGAGGTGGTTTTGAGCCATCAGGAGTGTAGTGACAAACAATTGGAATTGGCAATGGATGATGCAATACCCCTTGAGAAAACTGCTACTAGCGTTTCGCCAATTAAAGGGAGGTCTCAATCCAAACCTTTGTTGTCACATCTAAAATTGACCAAAATGCCTAAAATCCAGGAAACTGTACCCGAATCACTCCATACAGTTGACCTGACATTGAAACCATTCATCAGATCTGTCAAACCAGAAACAGCAGATCATGATTTGAGTCCAACACAATTTTCTGATAGTAAAATTAAAAACTCAGAAGTAGTATATAGTGAGCATTTCGATCCCCTTGATCCACATTCCACTGAGGTGGATACTGGGAAGAGGAAACCATTAAGGGATATGCATGGTTGCAAACATGCAAATTCAGCTTTTGGGAAAACTATATCCTTGTATGGGGCAGTAGAAAAGGCTTCTGTTCAACAACAGGTGTTAACCTTGCAAGCCTCCCCAGATGAAAAACCAGACAGTGGCTACCATTCACAAGAACTTGTAAGGCCAAAGTATGAATTGAAACATAGGCCAAATTCTACCGAGTCCCATTCATTAGTCATTGAAACTAACAAGATGACTAGTAAGTTCTCTGATATCAGCCAGAGTGAACATTACAAATCCCATACTCCTCAATTACCAGATTTAGAACATTCTTACATGTGTACTGAATCCAATGTATCAGGTGAAACTCATCCCTTAGAAGGTGATGGTTATTTCAGTGCTTGTGAGCATGAACAGACCAAATCCAAAGGTCCTAAAGATACTTGGTATTATACAGAATGTCCAGACAAAGCCATGGGGATCTTTTCTGAAGGAATGAATCCCAAAGCAGTGGATAGAGGACGTCCAATGACCAGACAAACCAGAGCCCGTCCTCAGCTTTCCTTGTTCCCAGAGAGAGTATATTCAGATCGTAACCCTGTGTCCCAGCAGGTTCAGTTATTGAACAACTCTCTTCTGGATGACCCATTTGTTGTTGATGCAGATGTTGACAGCTGTGACAGCTCTGACTATGCAACAGCTGGTGAATTATTAGAACCTGGCAAGTCTAAAATGAAATCCAATTCTCTTCATTTCCCCAGGAAGGTAAAGCAATTTTCTGCTTTGCCTAGATTGCCAAATTCAGACTCTTCTGATGAAGAGTTACTGACAAGGTATGGCAATAACCCTATCCAAACCAAATTGAGTCAGAGAGAAGTATATCCTTGTATCTCAGAGGCTGCAATTACTAAGTTAGTTCAGCAACAGATGATGATACTTGGTCAAAATCTGACTAAGGTTATAAAAAAGACCCTGAAAAAGAATTCCAATTCCAAGCCAAAGTCAATGAGATATGCCTCATATTGCCAAATATGTGAAACAAGAAGCCACTCCATCTTTGACTGTGACCAAAGACACCCCAACTCTAGGGTTACTGGTGTCAGAGCTTGTTTTAAATGTGGAAATGACCATCGTATAACTGATTGTCCTTCTCTAAAAGAAGGACCAGATCAGTTTGAACACTAAATCATTATAGTGTTAGTGTGTGTCTAGAATCAGGCCAGAAAGATGCACCTCGTTTACCATAAAGAGTGGCCTTTATAACCATGCTACCTCAATTTTCCATGTTTCTGATGTTGATGTAAAACTATTATCCAATCAGAAGATTTATACTTAGGTATGCATTACTTTGTTTAACGTTGAAAACACTTTATTTGATTTTCAACACATGTGTTTTATTTTATTCCCCTTTTTGCTTGTGTCTTTGTCTGCCATGAATTGCGGGCTGTTTTGAACTTGATGTTGTTTAAAGCCTATGGCAGTGAGCTAGGTGGTAATGCAAGAACCTCGACACATGTAAGGGAACTTTATTTATTTTTTTTATTGACCATTATTGTCATTGATTGCCATGCCAGAGCCTTACTTTACCCGAGCATTAGTGTTAATTGACAGCATTGGCCTGATCAACCAATGTTTGATCACATGTATACTGTTTGCTCTGGGAGGAACTAAGTAGTGAATAAAGTTTGTGAGGGCATGGTAATATGACAGTTGAACCCAGAAAACTGCTTTTGTTGAACTCCTGAGGTGGATTCATTTGCAGTGGATAACAGCTTTTGATTGACTGGGATTGAGTAACACCGTGGATAGGGCCCATCCATTGTCTTTGTTGAAGTGACATACCTGGTTTTCTGGCAGGTTGGTGAAAGGTGTTTCTCATCTTGCCCACCCAGTCATGTTACCCATTTTGCCTTTTTTGGTGTACTGTAGCGTCTCCAGGAATATGACACGGTGATGCTTTCACCCGACAGAATTCCACCTCAACTTCCTTTGTATTGAAAGGGTCATTGTGACTGAATTTGAATCATTCCCAGTACAAATGTTATGAGATATTATCTGAAAACTACCAATCCGAAGCTGATTGTGAAAGGATAAATCTTGATCATACGTTTGATTGATTCAATCTCATTGTACAACCCTTTATTTTGGCCAATTCATATCACATGTGTGATATTCGAAATTTAAATTTGTATTGTTTGAATAACAAGCCTTATTTCCAGGACTGTGATGATTTCTTTCCAGTCCCATATGAACAATCGTTATGACCTTCCACCTAATGAACATTTGAACATGATGATGATAATCTTTCCGGTTCAAGTTACTTTTACTTATTGGTGTACCCATGAGGTGACATGGGGAACCAGTGACAATTGATAACCGGTAATGATTATGAACAAAGACAAAAACTGTATATTTATAAACTCATCTATATGATACATCCACACTATGGGAAGCCACATGAGGAATATCACAATCACAACGTGTATTATGCACTGGAATTATATCTGAGAACCATGAAGCTGACAAGTGTAACATTAATACCTGATATGATTTTGTTAGTGCACCCCATGCAGATATAGGGAACCAATGACACTTACAGCAAACAGCCTATATTCTCAGCAAAAACATTGATGTCTTGCTTTGGGCACTTTGATCTTATATTGCAAAACATGATATGGCATAGACAACCACATACAATTGCCATACTATGAACAATACTTCATATGATATGATGTTTGTAACTCCAATGACTACAACGTATATAATGGAGAATAGACTCAAGGATTACTACAGCCAACAACAATAATGATGAACTCTTGCAGCTTATGAACACTTATTGTTGTGTATAAATTGTAAACAAGTAATCAAACTTTTGCATGTTTTAGTACAAATTGGTTGAAGGTGATTTTAGAAACATGTGTATTTGTATCTTTGTATTTTCAGAGTTCGGGGTCGAACTGTTTTAAAAGGGGGAGCAGTGTGATGATCCCCCAACACTTAATACAATGTTATGTGATTATTCTGGAGGATTATCACTTTGTTTGAATTGCTCTTACCTTTATTTATCAATTATGTTTGTAGATACTTCATAATTCAGGAGTTTGTTCAGAAATTTTCTTATTTCACTACTTCCTTATTCAGCCTTTTGTTGATAGTCTCATATTAAAAGTTTATATGTGAATTTCCTACACTAGGCACATTATGTCAACTTTATATCAAATGTTGGTTATGTTATTGTTTATTTTAGCAATATTTAATGTATATTATGTGTGATTGTTTATAGGGGCCAAACTAAAGCGATTACATTTTATTTTGAGACTATAAAATTTTGCCTAGATTTGCATGAATCATCAGTTCTTCAGTGAGACTTTGAATCACCGGCAAGTAACAGGAATTAACTTTCTCTCTGCATTTTGGAATTAATACACATACATATTGGATATATAACATCTTATTAGATACACTAACCTAGGTGAACGGGTTGGTAAGGTAATGGAATTACTTTTACTCTAAAACAGAGAAACTGTTTATACTTTTTCCTTGTTGGTGAATCTTCTGATTTCTCTCACTCATTTAGCTTCATTTACATTAGCATGAATTCATTTAAACCTTGTTGAGGGTTATTGTATCAGGTTCAAAAAGAATATTCAGGGCCATTTTGTATGATTACGACTTTGATTTCAATCTGCCTGGTCACGCCTTGAATCAAACTGTGGCTGTACGTATTTATATAGCAGATTGATTTGAACTTTCAGACATTTTATTTCTAATTAAACCTTCATAAGCATTGAGAGAGCTACGTGTACATTCTTGTGAGAAGCATTTCTGATTCATTGGAAATTTACAGATTGACCTACATGTAGATTTAAGATTCAATCGCCAACTTGGTATTTTTGGCTTTATCTTATATAATTTGAGGGAAATATCTGCTTGCCAGTGTTGATTATTTGAGTCACTAGAATATTCATACTTAAAATATACATTTTGAACTGAAAACTTTAGAGAACTACCAGCTATTAGATATATTGCAACTGCCTAATGTATTCCATATATCCCCAAGGTCGGGTTTGATTTGTCGTAATTAAGCTATGGCAATTTATTTGCTGCTACGCTGTTAGTGCGTGGCTCTCGAAATAGGATACAACCCCCCCTCAGCATAGTCTTGAAGAATTTGAACAAGCGTTGCATATTTAACTGTACCAATAATATTTGTGCCACTAAAATATTCACTCTTTATATGAGAATTACATTGTAAATTGCAACTTGTGAGAAACATTGGCTATATTTGTTCCCAAAGTTTTACTATTATTGCATGTAGTATTATTTCACATTTTATTCTAAATATTCCCGAGACGAGTTGGTTTGGGGTGATCAAGGCAATCTTCATATTTGCTGACACTCTTTAGGGGATCTGTGTTGCACCTGGTTAGTATCATCAGGCATGGACTAGTTACGATTTTTTAGTTGTAAAACAGCTTCACAGCATAACCATCTTTTGAGCGCTCCATTCATTTCACTGGGCATATTTTATTTATCTTAATCTTAATTGCACGAATACTGAAATTCTGAAAGAATCTAGCAATTGTTATATTTTTCGCTTCATTACAGAGTTATTTAAATATTTCCGGGGTAAGGTCATTATACAGAGTAGGAAGGGCAATTAATTGGCTGCTACTTTTGTTTGTCCCTGGGAACTGAGCATAGCCAGTGTTGGTATTAATTTGCTAATATAAAGCCTCACAGCATTTTAAATCTTTGTGTGCCTTTGTAATTACTGTGAGAAGATCCTATTTGGAATTTTGCATAACTGTCTTAAGTTTTTGTCCCATTTGCTACACAATGACCACCTTTATATTTTCATTGCACTAATCAAACCCCTAGTCTTAGTCAGCTCCCTTGTGGTCACTTTATCTGTATTACATGTAAACACCTTCTGAACATTTGATCATTATCACTATCCCGAACAGGAGAAACATACCTGTACTCATTGTATTGATGCGTATCTGGCTATTTAAGCCAGTACAGAACCCTTCTAAGAATTTATCTTTTATTGTTTTTATGATGACAATACAACCCCCCTTTTGCCTGTATTGAACTAATTAGACAGGTCATTTTGCCAAGTGAGAAAAACTGGCAGGCAGAATTAAGAGTATAAAGTTACGTTATAGTTTGCATTGAATTTCCTAGATACACTGAATTTCATAAGTGTATTTGACTGAAAATAACGTTACTTTTTGTTTTATTGCATAACTGACGGTAAATCTATGTAGAATTGTGTAACCAAACACATGTATATATTTTGAAATAGAGTTGAATTATATTCATTTTATATAATTTCCCATTACATTCTCTGTTGTGTTGAATGATTGTGTAAGGTGAATGTGGATGTAGATCAGTGTTTGAAAAGACCCATTCCCATATATTTTACAATCTATTATCAAGCTAGACCATTAAAAATCCAAATACTTGATAGCTGGGTAACCCAGGACCACGCTACCCAACACCCTGGGTTGCCACAATATATCCACATCCCAAAACCAGGGCAAGCTAGTGTGAAAAATATGAAGCATAATAAGGCCCATGGAAATGTGATACAAAAACGCGGGTTAAAATGTTTGATATGTTTCAACAGGAACCTTGTGAAACATAAGAGTGGCAAGACGATCATCGAGAAATTGAATATAACAACCGCAAGAAGTAAAATTATAATACTCGTAAACCCCTTATAAAACGTAGCAACAAAAACAGCAATAACAATTAGAAAAACGAAGTAAATGTGAGCTGTAAAGTAACATGGTGACCGATTTCTCACTACACGGTTCTTGTTCTTAGGAAGCCGAAAATTACTAAATAGCCCCACCCTCATACGATAGGTTGCTACATCAATGCCCTTTAACCGATACCTGTCGCAGCGGTGGCATAAACATTAGAATACAACACGTTAAGATCTGAAAAAAGTACTGAAAGACAGACATTTGCATCATTTGGGAGACAGATTGGCAATTTTAACAGAAAAGTACTTAAAACTAGAAAAATGATAAAAAACCAGACTAATTCTGGTTTAGTGTGTATCGTACTCATCAAATGCGATAGACGATTTCGCTGCTTATTGCAACGGTTTTTTAAAAAATAAAAATTGGATACATTAGGTCTGTAAAAACACATATACAAGGCCAATTTACCTGAACAAAATAAAACATGAAAAAGTAACAGTGATAATCAGCAAGAGTAAAGAAACTAGATCAGAATATTATTTAACACAAGGCCTCTAGTAATGGTGTGACATATCGCCATACCAAAGATTTTTTCAAACAGTCCCTCTGTATTTTATGTAGGGATAGAGAGGCCTTGCTAAAGCTAGGTTCTGAAATGTAAACCAAGTCCAAAGATGTAAAAATAGTAAGTCTTTTTTACATGATTTAAAACAACAATAAAGAAGTACAAGAGAGAAAAATTATGATCAACTTACGAGACTTCTGACAATGGTACATGGAGAAATGTGCATTTTGAAGCCACATTAGTGAATTATCCAACAATCTAATTTAGCCAACATCACACGGTATTTACAAACATGATGTCCTACATACATGTACATATACAACTACATTCAATACATTTCAATTATTTCAGTTGAAATCACACTCACATAATGTTTACGCTTGACAAGAGATTTTTACTTGAGATAAGTAAGCACTTTGAAGCTAGTCCTGATTTGCTGAAAGTATATGAAAAAGACATTCAAGTATTAGTAACAGTCCAAAGGTAAAGCAGTGGGTTTTATCAACCCGCTAACTTTTTAAGACAGTCCCTTATTGTCCCCTTAATGTTCGCATGGCTAGTTTTGCCGAAGTTAGGCTGACCAAGAGTCCTTGGGACAATGACAAAAATGTCGGTCATTTTGCTATTCTCAAGAATATCGGACAGAACTTTACCAGCTCCAAATTCGCCGTTGTCAGAATATCCAAAGCCTTCAGGAACACGATAGGCATAGGGCGCAGACGTTGATTTGATAACATCATCAAATTTTTATTATTATATATTATTATTATTTTTATTAAACGGAAATGCAATGCATAATCTATTCTGATTTAATGAATGTGATCTTATTTATCGATATCTGTGCTTAGAATTCAATTTACTGTCATAGTTTTGGCTTGAAATGACTTTTTCCAAAAAATCTTGAAATATGTAATACTTTTACGTATTTTTCAGTTTTTCTCATTTTCATGCAAATTATACGAGAATAAGATGCATAATGCACATAACAATTATCATGAAACAGTATTCCGTGATTCCCAGTTACTAGATTGCCCCTATATAGCTTGTGTAAGATGGAGCGAGCTGATTTGCAAACTGGCTCCAAGTTGGAGCCAGTTTTGTAAAATGAGCGATGCGTTTTTATCAAACAGAAATGCAATGCATAATTTACTCTTATTTAACGAACATGATTTAATTCATCGATATTTTTATTAAGAATTAAATTTCCCTCATAGTTTTGGTTTGAAATTACTTTTTGCAAAAAATCTTGCAATATGTTACAATTTTACATTTTTTCTCATTTCCATGCTAATTATACGAGAATAAGATGCATAATGCACAACAAAATGATTGAGAGATTGAATCTGGCTTTTAAAACTGGCTTCTTGGTAACTGAAGAAGCCGGCTCCTGTAAGTCATTCGAAGCCGGTTTTTAAAAGCCGGCTTCTTGGTGACGCCAGAAGCCGGCTTCTGATGTACTGTAGAAGCCGGCTTTAAAAGCCGGCTTTGAAAGCCGGCTTTGTATATTTGCCTTCGACTCTTTCTCGAAAATTAAGACGATAAAACGATAAATGCTCATACTTTACTCAATTCAAATTGTTTAGTCCCGCTCGGTCTTTCAAGTGAAGCCAAACGTTCAACCAAAAACTATGTAGTTCTTCAAATATTGCTGTTTTGTTGGTGTGGGACTGAACAGTGTGAACTAAGTAAAATATGAGAATTGATCGCAACAGCTAAAAAGAAGGCCACGTGACGACAACCCCTTCCCGTGTGACAGGGCACAGTATTTGATTGGCATTTAAGATGGCTCTCTTATTTGATGAAATGAGAAACAGGTTCAAATAGTTTACACATACTTGCTGCTACATATTGCTATCAGTGGATTTCTGCGGCGAGCGTAGGAAAACTACGGTCATCTTGAGGTCCCTATACGGCGTATCCAGTTTTTTACAGGCCGCAGGGTAGCCATAGAAATTATAACTCGGAGTTATAATATTTGTTCATTTCTGTGGTCCCCGTAGAAATCAACAGGCTGTTGCCAGACGTAGAACAGTCCCACGGTGGCCGTATGTCGGGCTTTCGTTGAATTGCGTCTGTAGTAGTGTTTTGATGATGGGTTATGTTTTACTGGAAAAATCATATCTCTGCTGTGAACATAACGCAATAGGTATACTGTTTGATGTAGGGTCACCGATACCACATCAACCTATAATACATACCTTCACGCAACACTTTTATTATTTGATATTATATCCTAGCACTATAAAAACATTTATAAATTGTACTGATGTAAATAAAATAAAATGAACATTACATTAATCAACGGAAATTCAAATTCGCCAGGCGGCTGCCGTTAGAAATGTGACAGCAAAAGTATCCGACGAGCGAAGAAATATTACTGACCGTAGAAATGATAGACCGTGTGGTCGCAGTAATGAAGAAATGTGACTGGGTGTTAATAATGGCATGGCAGACAGTTGAAGATACGGTGACATATCTTATCCGTATAAATATTTAGACATTATACATGAGTCTAACTTATACAATTTTTGTTATTGACAAAATGAAATAAAAAACCTAGCTACTATTGCATCATCTATTTCTAGATCTTATTTGTGTTTGGGAGGATCGGTAAGAGCCCAAAAATGCTATTTTAATGCTGTTCAGGACTTATTTTCCTGACCTAAAA